GTGCGAAAATCACGTTTTTGGAGACATTTTAGGCTAAAAGTTCGAAATGTAGACACAAAATTTAGATAGTAATATGGCAGCGTGAAGTTTCTCGCCAAAAATATTTGGCGACTTGAGGGCGCATATCAGAGTAGTTCCAGGAATTATAAGCCAAATAAAATAAAAACATCTGCCCTGAAGATAAGAATAGTGCTGACAAATCAACTTCCAATTCATTGCGTGCTGCGGCGTGAAATTGATAAACAGATTTCGGATTTCGAAACATACTTTCGCTTTGTAGATCCTTTACATGTTAGTAAATATATATCGGAAATCCTATTTGACATAAGCGAAAGTTCAAGCTTACTTTTATAAAATTGCTCTAACAGTCTGCAAAAAATAATAAGCCGGATCCAATTAGAAGATTAAGGAACAACGCAATCTGTAACATTAACTGAATTAGATAATTTTAGCTTAGCTTATACCGTCCGTTACACATTAAACGCGCATGCGCACACGCATATTCGCAGCCGTAAAGGTCTTACGTGCACTCGTGAACGCATGTGCGCATGCGTGAACGCGACGCATGCGCAGAAAGTTTGTAGCTTTGAGGTCCGGATTATAGATCATTCCGGATTATGGGTGTCCGAATTAACGACTTTTGACTGTATATATATATGTTAACATATACACATGGGTTGAAGCTTATTTTTTTAATATAAAAGAAGTAATAGATGTTACCGAAAAAAAAACTGATGGCATAGAAAATTATTTATATTAATTAGCATTTATTATGAAATGGAAAAACTGGCTTTGATTATTTCTAAGAAACAGTATAGCTTCGGCAAGATTTTCTTTGTTGGAGGGCCATAGATCCGATTTGATAAACTTCAGAGCTGAGAAGAGTCTTTTCACACTAACTTGAGTAGGAGAAAGAGCTGTTACTGTTATAGCTACTTTTTTTAACTTTTCAGGATAGATTTTTATAAGTTCTAAAAGAGGTGTCTTGCAAGCACAATCATATTTCTCTATTTCTTCAAAGGCCATGTAGAAATCTTGTTTGTATTTTTCATTTTTACATTTAAAGGCTCTTGGTTCTTTATTTTCATTTGCTTTGCCTTTTCAATATTATCCAAAAATATTTCTCAAAATCTAATTCATCACTGGAAGAGGATGATAGAGACTCAATTGCAATGTCTGCAGTTTGACTGTCCTGATTCAAATTCTCCAATTGTTCTTGGAATAATTTCATTTTCAATGAAAGTTCATAGATGGCTTTCTTTGCCTTTTTAATTTGTTCATCATGCAAGAAAATTCAGTGTTTTGGATCTACACATATTGAACCCAGCAAGATCTCATTATCTAGCAAAGTAGTTTCTCTTTTCTTCATTGAAGAAATGATTCCTTCTGCAATAAACCCACCATTTCAGAAAGAACAAACATCCCATTCTTCCATTCTCGCCACCTGTCAATTCTTCAGATTGCAGCTTTCTTGTGGCTATATATGATGTAGAAAGAAGAGTTTCAAATTGTGCAAGCATTAGGGTTATCTACATCTTCTAAAAAAGTTCTTAATTCTAACAACCTCATTATCATCAAATATGTACTTCCTTATTGCGTTGCTTGATCTCCTTTGCTCCATTTCCTGATCGCTTCCTAAGGAATGGCATCAATTTTGGGAGTTCTTGCTGCTATTGCTGCTTACCTAAATTTACCAGTGAAATTTGTAACTAAATGAATCAGTTTAATCACTAACTGCAAATATTACATCCATCCTCCTCCCTTATACTTATTTATTAATATGTCAAGAAAATAGGACATAACTATTTATTAATGTATATAGTCCATAAATAATAGTTCGGCTTGTCATTAATTTTGTTTTTCAATTCAATTTAATTTCATTTCAAATTCAAACTGTCCAACAAAAACTGGAGTCTGAGTTGGCTTGCTTTTAGCAACTCCAGCTCTGACTCCTTTTATCTCAAAATCTGCCCGACTCCATGACTCTGACTCCACAGCCCTGCCTAAAATCCATTGTTATAGAAGAGCTCTATCAGCATGGTTCTTCTGTTTTACGAAAAAGATTTGCCAAGTTCGATGATCTTATCAGGTCCTCTTATTTTTTTTTGGTAGAATGTTTAGTCATGATATCACAGCACACTTACCAAGTTCCTCCTTCCAACAATACATGTATCGCAATGCAGTGAGAAACCATATTCTCGATCCATTAAACCAAATACCCACATGAAAGCACTTTTCTTTTTATAATTTCTTCGGATTATGGTAACTTGGCGATTTTTTTGCAAAACTTTGGTGACCAACCCTGCTACAGCAACCTGCTAGTTTTTTGGGGGGGGGACGCCATTTTGTTTTCACAAAGTAAAAACTTTTTTTTTTTTTTTGGAACTACTCTGATATGCGCCCTCAAGTTGCCAAACATTTTTGGCTAGAAACTCCACGCTGCCATATTACTATCTAAATTTTTTGTGTCTACATTTTGAACTTTAAGCCTAAAATGGTTCCAAAAACCACATTTTGAACAATTTAAGCTAAAAATCCAAAACAAAAAAATTTAGATAGCAAAAACATAAAGTTTCTAACCAAAAATATTTGACAGGAATCCATGTACACAGCGGTATGTTTCAACTTAAGAAAAAACATTTACGAATGCCATAATCTAGGCAATGAACGAATCTATGAACTACGCACACTTCACTTTAATTAACACAACCACAATAAATTTCAAAGAATACCATGTACACAGCATCCTGTTTAAACTTAAAAAAACATCTACGAATTGCACAATCTAGACGCTACGCACTAATCAACAAAATAAACTAAAATAAATTTCAAACAATTCAAAAAAATGGTACAACTCTGATAAACGCCCTAATTTCACAAAAATGTGACGATATGTGTTTTGCGCTGGTTTTTGGCACGATTGCGTGTTGTGTGGCAACCATGTCGACGTTGAAAAGTCTTTTGGTGGATTAGTTTCTTAATTGCTAGTTGGTTCGTGTTGCGTGTGTTTTTGAAATGGCCTGTGTTGCGATGAAAGACAGACGTGGTGGGAAGGTTTCAGCTGCGTATTTTAGATTATGTGCAGAGTAAATTTAGTATGAAAAGGTACGATGTTGGAGTTGTTAACGAGTCTTTTGTTCACGGATGTATTTATGGAGATCATAGTGTATTTTTAGAATTTCTGTGGGAGTCGGGACTTTTAAAACGGAGTTTGACGTGTCTGAAATGCGGAGCTGATATGGGAACTCGGACGAAAAATGGTGTTTCTGATAGACTTGTGTGGGTTTGCAGTAAAATTGTTGCTAATAAAGTATGTGGGTGTCAGCGGAGTTTAAGGTTTGGATCTTGGTTTTCGTGTAGCAAGTTAACGTTGGAGGAAGTTTTTATTGTTACTTTCTAAATTTTGAATCGTAGGAAGGCATGCGATATAGCAAAATCGTGGAAGTTTTCTTCACAGACGTTGTGTGACTGGCGAAATTTTATTAACGAATGTATTTTGGACTTTGCATGCTCTGTATCTGAGAAGATAGGGGGGAAAGATATTTCTGCTTTTAAAAGAAGCTTTCATTATGGTAAGTGCATTTTATTTTATTGCTTTTATTTTGTAGAATGTTATATTCATTGTTTTTGGTATGAATTTCCGTTTTTATTGTTGTTTTTTGAATTGTCTGAAATTTATTTTAGTTTATATTCTTGATTTGTTTTTAGTGTAGATTGTGCAATTCGTAGATTTTTTTAAAGTTGAAACAGAACTCTGTGTACATGGTATTCTTTGAAATTTATTGTTGTTATGTTAATTTATTAAAGCGAGGTGTGTGTAGTTCGTAGATTCGTTCGTTGCCTACAGTGTGCCATTCGTAGATGTTTTTTTAAGTTAAAACATGTCGCTGTGTACATGGATTCTTGTCAAATATTTTTGGTTAGAAACTTTACGTTTCTGCTATCTAAATTTTTTGTTTTTGTTTCGGATTTTTAGCTTAAATCGTGTGTTCAATATGTAGTTTTTGCATGTGCAAAAACTGTGTTTTTGGAGACATTTTAGGCTTAAAGTTCGAAATGTAGACAAAAAATTTAGATAGTAATATGGCAGCGTAAAGTTTCTCGCCAAAAATATTTGGCGACTTGAGGGCGCATATCAAAGTAGTTCCAAAAAAACCATAATAACGACAGAAATCCATACTAAAAAAACAATGAACATAACATTCTACAAAGTAAGAACAAGAATAAAATAAAATTCAATTACCATGAATTAATGCTTTTTCGAACAGCAGAAATACCAATTTCATACCGCCTTTAACATGCCGCCATGTAATCACTATCGTATTTATATGACAGCCAAATTCATTGTATGGTTCACAAGTAAATAAAATCATAAATCCCTACTTCTATCATGCACAGCCACTAAAAATAACCTCCTAGAACCTCTTTCCACACCTTCTCAACAGGATGGCCACGATATTTCCTTTCGCTGAACTTCAACGACTTCCACCATTTATCTTTCCCCCTATCTTCTTAGACACAGAACATGACATGAACCAACAAGCTCCAGTGAAAGATTTGGCTCTCATTCCTCTAAGACAAAATAATCTGTGATTGGAACTCTGTACTTCTCAGATTATTGCTAAAGTCATAGCTAGTAACCTTTATCGCCTTACCAAAATGGTGCCAAACTACCTGTTACCATATTCCAAAGATTAGCCGCACTCTTTCATTGAAGACAGATTGAAAACTTTAATGAAGAAAACTTCCCAAACAGATGAAGTGTAAATCAAATGCACATAAAAGGTTGAATACAGTGAAAAACGCACTCAATCCTCCAATTCAAGCTAATTACGAAGCCGCTTAATCATGAATTTCATTCTATCCACTAGTTGTTACGTAGTAATAAACACATGAAACGAAATTACCGAGCAACCACAATATTTTTCGTACTTTTAAACTATGATATTATTGTTTGAACGACCTTATTTAACATTTAATTGCGAAGTAATTTTACTTACTTTTGCTACTTTGGGTATTTTTTGAGGTTTCGATGTACTAGCCATGTTTGAAGAAACGAAAAAGCACAAGTTCAACCCAAAACACGGAGCAAAACACAATACTGGAAAATTGTTGCCACAGCCTAATTTAGCTGTAGCAATCTTGCTTTTCAGCAAGAAGAAAGGAGGTGAGGACTTTGGCGAAAAGTCCGTTACAATTATGCGACTACAAACGCTGACGGTTTACGGAAGTTTGCGGGTCTCACGTGACTGGTGGCAACAATACGTCACAAACTATTTGTCTGGGTTACTATAATTGGCTGTTTTCCACTTTTTTATGTGAATTTCGAGAAGTTTAGTTTATAGAAAATCCTTAATATCATGATGTAAACAAACACCGATGGCAAAAAATTATTTGGTAACTACATCCATTACGTATTGATAAATGTTTCGACATGATTACATATAACTGCATTAATAACCAAATAAAACAAACTTAGATTACAAATGCGTTATGTAATGGAGCATGTAACTAAAACTTCAGAATTGTAGAATCCGGAAGATTTTTTTTTTTTCCGAGTTAGAAGTATAACAAAATACGAGCAGTGTTCTAATAATTTTTAAATCTTCATATTCTTTAATATTACTGCTGTTTTTGATAACATGATCATAACATAACTGATGATCATAACATCGTTTAAAATGAAAGCACGAGAATATTTTAATGGGATTATTAAAGTATCTGTAATAAAGAAAAAAAAAAAAAAAGTAGGTTAGGAATAAACAGTAAAGTAAAAGGAAGATTACTAATAATATATATTAACTATTGTATATATGTGTAATTTTGTGAATTGTGAAATAATGATATTTGTTCATTTTATAATTTAATAAATAAAATTGTGAAAAAATTATATTTGTTCATTTTATAATTTAATAAATATTATGAAAAAGCTACGTACTTTTTAAAAAAATCATTTGCACTTGTTTTTCATTATTGCATTTAAGTTTTATTCATTATTTGAATCAATATATATAGAATATAAGAGAATCGTATACATTTTACGAGTAAAATATTATACGCAGTATGAATGGAGATATGTTACTGTAAGATCCTAAAGTCTGGTAAATCCTAGGTTTTACCAGTAAAAACCTAGCTTTTACCAAAGTAGCTTGTTAAAAGCTCGAAGTATGCTTTAATATGATTCCACTTCAGCCTTTGAGGTAAAACCGAGGAGTTACCAATGCCTTCTGGTAAAATCCTGAAACGAGGGATTTAAATCAACCTTGAATAAGCCTCCGCACACAAATTCCATCATGACACTTTTCTGTTCCTGCCTCTCCTTATTTGCACCATTCGCAGTCTAACTTGGACATAATTTAAACAAGTGTAAGCAGCTACGATCTAAAAAAAAAGAAGTTTGGGCGCAAGTGCAGAATCGCCCACTTATCGATGTTCACATGGACAAAGTCAAGGGAGTGCGTAGTGCCGAGTTTGTGTAATTCTCTGATGTTATTTTAAGAAGCAAAAATAGGTCGTTGTGTACATGGACACTGAGTTTGTGCAATTCTTAGACTTGTTATTTTCAAGTTGGCGATTTTGAGAAATGCGCTAAACAGGGGTGATTCTGCACTTTCCCTGAAGTTTGTTTCCATTTTTACATACTTTGCTTTTTTTATTTTGCTGATGGGAAATGAGTGATGTTATGCGGAAAAAGATTATGACATTTTGTCTGAATTTGTAAAAAATAAGCCTGATAACTGCTTTTATTTAACAAGTGAGAAATATGTGATGGAGAAACAAACAGTTCATTACAGAAGGTTGAAATGCTGTCGTATTCTAATTGGAGGAAAGGACAAACTTATAATATCACTATTTGCAAAAATCCTATATTATGTTACAACTGATGAAGTCTTCAACACAGCACTCATATTGCAATTGGCCATGGTGAAAGAACTTGCATGATTAAAGAACTGAATCGTAAGTACAAGAATGTAACAGTAGAACCTATTTTCACATATTTAAGACTATGCAAACCATGTCAGAAGAAACAAAAAACTGTGAAAGATGGGATTGTAATTAAATCAGTTGTGCATAGTGAAATGAATTCTCGATGCCAAGTCAACCTAATAGATATGCAGTCCAATACTGATCATGATATGAAATTCATTTGAGTGCATCAAGATCATCTTGCACAATTTGTCCTACTCCGATGTTTACACAGTAAAAGAATTGTTGAAGTAGCATATCACTTTCTGGATATTTTCATAGCTTTTGGAGCCCTGAGCATTCTTCACTCTGATAATAGGAGGGAATTTTGCAACCAAATCAAATCATAAACAGTTTATGTGAAATGTGGAGTGATATAAAAATAGCTCACTGAAAACCGAGACACAGTCAGTCACAAAGTTCTGTCGAACGGGTGAACCAAGATGTTGAGAACATGTTGGAAACAAATAAGATAGGAAATTGGTCAGAAGGATTAAAATTTGTTCAAAAATAAAAAACAAAGCATATCAGGAAGGATTCAAATGTTCATCTTAATGAAGCTATCCTGTGATGTCCTGCAAAGTTGTCTTATGAAGCTAGGACTTGCTAACTCAGTTTTGCCACATAATTTGATTAGTAACATGACCACTGAACAGGATTTAGAAAAAAGTTATAAGTATGTATTACTAATGAATGTGTGATTAATACAGAAAATGGGAAAACTAATCTCGAATCAACAGTTGATTTAGAATTGCAAGATAATAATAATGCATATGAAAAATAATCAGACATAACAATGGAAGCAGATACTAAAGTTTGAATTGAAATGAAAGAACCAGATATATGCTTTGACACAACGGGTGCAATTATCAAGAAAACTCAAAATGTGAAAGTGTTTCAAGAGACAGTTAAGGAAGGACTTCAGAAGCAGGCAAAGAAGATGAAGACTGTGTCTACTAAAAACTTTCCGAAACCTACATTTGGACAAATACTTTTGGAAAAATGTTAAAATAAAGTACCTGATATTGATAGATCAAAAATGGATCCAAAATCAATAATAGCCGTTATTAGAGATATTTAAGATGATGAGTTTTTATGTTTTTGATAGTAAGTTCGGTAAATTAAAATCGTTGTAAACAGGAAAGCAGTTTATTTTTTGTAAAGAAAATTTTTTT